AACGAAAATGAAAATTTGCTTGATAATTCAACTACGCTTGTTGGAGAACAATAAAAACACTACACTCAACAAGCCACCAATAAAACTCAACTGCCTAACCTATAACCAAAGTCTCCTTTTAATTTGTTTTTTAAAAAAAGCGCTTGACAAACTTGCCCCGCATGCCGAAGTTGCCCCGATCTCCCCTATATTAATTAACAGCGTGATTAAATTAATCTTAAAGACAACAAAATGCAGTAAATTAACAGAAAATCTTAATATAGTATATAAATACAGACTAAAGGGAAACTGGTGTTTGGAAAACTATCCGAAAAGTATAAAATTTCAGATGGTTACGCGAAAATAAATAGATTTAGTTAGGCCTTTTGTATTACTACACATTGTAACATCATAGGTCTTTTATACTTTAAAGTAATAAAGTACAAAAGTAAAGATAATTATTTTAATGCATAAAATCTTCAATCCCTATAATATTACAAAAGTAATTAAAGAAATTCTTACGATGAAATTTTATAATAATTTAGGAATGAAAACTATAATTTTAAAATAGAACATAAAAAAAATTAATTTATATTCTTTCGGCAATAAATAATAATCATTCATTGTTAGTAATTTGTTTTTTTTTTTTTTTTTTAATTTCGTATAAAAATTTTATTACATAGAGCTTTTGTGACCTGCATAAGTTTAAGAATTATAGTAAATTGCAATGCCATTAATATAAGCATTTAAGAATATTTAATCCCGAAACAAGTTTTAACAGAAGCTATTTATAATACTCAATGGGGATCCTTCAAATTTCTAGTTTATCTTAACAAGAAGTGACGTTTTAAACGATACTATGGTGACAGTAACAGGAGGAGACAATAAACAATCTACTTTTTTTCTGCTTCTTTATCAAATGACAGTGAAGAGTGTCTCTTGTCCAATTACTTTTACTTTCAGACAATTCTTCTGTCTACACTTTGAAAAGTAGTTTCTTACAATGGTTTCTTTGAATCATTTTAAAAATTAAGCTGCAACATTGTCTCGGTAAGCTTTCTCTCCACCAAAAATTGTGTGTTGTAATGGTAATTAAAATTTCCGATAATTCTACTATAACAATTGACAGAAAGCTTACAATTAAAATTCAAATTTGGGTGTCTTCCATGAATACCAAATGACTACGAAACTTTAGTTGGAACTGAGAAAATTACTGTTTCTATTAGTGGTTTTTTTTTAATCATCAACAGAAAATGGTACTATACCTATTGTTACGCAAGAGACAAAAAATGTGTGGTGGGCAATAGAAGGTTGACTAATCAGGAAATTGCGTCTATGGTTCGAAAACATATCACGTTTTTATACACCCCCATAGCAGTCTCATAATACTAAAGGAGAAGTAGTCAACACCCACTTAAGCCCTGAATTAGTCTTAACGACTAGGCGATTAATGCGATATTAATGACACCTTATCTTTTTTTAATTTTTTTTTTTATTTCTTATTTTCCGACTTTCTGTAATTTTCTGAATTGTTACTAAAGTGAATTTCATTTTGCCAGCGCCCTATGAGTTATTCAAAAAGAATTTGGCTGTTTTCTCCCCTACTTTTTTTTTAATTAAAATAGCTAAATTACTTTGAAAAAAAAAATGCTCAAGCCAGGGTATATTTATCAATGTAATGATTCATTAAAAGATTTTTGTAATTTAAATTAAAAATCAGATAAACTTTACAAGTGCAGTAAGCTCTCTCGCTAATCCGAATAAATTTCGTTCGTCTTGCTATTAATTGTTACAACCAAAAAACAAAAATAAATCAAAACAATTAGTTTTGAAAAACGACAAATTTGCATTATTAATATGTATTGTACTTATCTATAGATCTAATTGATTTCCTGTACTTTATATATAACTCAGGCCGCATCTAGGAGGGGTGGTACAGTACTTATGATGCTACATCACTCTTCATACCAAAGCAATCAGTTTTGTTACTTTAAAATTAAAATAAATATAATAACGCATATTGCATGACCTGAATTAGGTAAGATTATGTAATTAATGAGTCAAATTTTCCGAAAAACAACAGCGAGTACGTGTCTTGTTCCTCCGAATCTGCATTGAGCAGCACCCATATTTTCAAAATCCTGAATATAACTTGATAATATACAGTATATTTACTTTAATGGAGATTATTGCTTGTAACATAAAGAGTGTATGTATCATTATTCATTACTAAACAGAAAAAATAAATGACTAAAAAATAATTAAGTTGTCTATTTGCTGATTTTATTATAAAAAAAACACACACACACACACACACACANGGCATCCATTTATCCTGCTAAGGATAAAAAATAAAATAAAAAAAAAATTACAGGTGAAACGTAAACGTTTCGACCCAAATTATGTCTAAATTTCGAAAAATACATTTCCAAATATTTCAGCTTTAAAAAAATAAGTCGAAAAACGCCTACAAACAATAGAAAATGAGTAAGTCGGATCGGAAAAAAAATCCTAGCGGTCTCCTGAACCCATCTACCAGGTGTTATGCACTATAGGCCACCTGGTGTCATTATTATGTACTAGGATACATAATGTATACCTTGGTAAGACATCTCTAATGTTGGACGGAGAGAATGGTAGGTTAGGAGCACATAATCACTCGTCGAATGCCACCATTTAGTTCAACAAAGCATGGAACAAGATATTAAGCTCGCGATACACCGATAACAGTGCAATCCACTTAAATATGTTGAGTTCTAATGACAGGTGGTGCTTCCTTCCAACACCGGAAGGTAAGGGCAATTAAAGGTGTGGTTTGGCTCAATATGGCTCCGTATTTAGGTGATGCAAGCAAATGCATTTACGTACTCATTTCTTTCATTAAAAAACTTCATTGATTCGTCTTTTCCGGGATGTTTCACTTCAATTCTTCTAGTGTATAATTCTCGCTTACAGAATTCCCAGTTAAGCCATTAATAAAAATATTTTTTTTCGATATAATTAATCAATAATTATGTAAATATTGTAAATCGTATACAGTCAAAGAATCATGGAGTAATTTGTTTTTTTTTTTTTAATTTCGTATAAAAATTTTATTACATAGAGCTTTTGTGACCTGCATAAGTTTAAGAATTATAGTAAATTGCAATGCCATTAATATAAGCATTTAAGAATATTTAATCCCGAAACAAGTTTTAACAGAAGCTATTTATAATACTCAATGGGGATCCTTCAAATTTCTAGTTTATCTTAACAAGAAGTGACGTTTTAAACGATACTATGGTGACAGTAACAGGAGGAGACAATAAACAATCTACTTTTTTTCTGCTTCTTTATCA